CCGCTCCGTCCCGGCGCGGGGACTCCCACCCGGAGCTCCTCAACCTCGTTACCCTGTCGCTTCCCATCAGCCGAGGCGGCAGCAGCATCCTTCTGGATGGGCGGATCGGGGAGTGAGACCCCACCGCAGGCAGCCGTGGCACCCGTGAGCAGTGCCCAGGGTCAGAGGGAACTTTCCTGGCCAGAAGCAAACGTGGGGATCAAAATATCTGAGATAGTAAAATAACCCCTCTGCTTTGACAGGTGTGCAATGGATAGTCGTAGAATCATAGAATCAACCTGGTTGGAACAGCCCTCAAAGATCCTCAAGTCCAACCCTACCATTGCCACCAGGGCACTAAGTGCCACATCCAGTTTCATCCTGAAAACCTCCAGGGATGGTGAATCCATCACCTTCCCGGGCAGCACATTCCAACGCCTGATCACTCTCTCCATAAAAATTCTCTTCCCAATATCCAACCTAAACCTCCTCTGGCAGAGCTCATCCAATGGCAAGGAAGAAAGTCCTGGCTCTCCACACCCCGTGGAATATGGCTATCCAGCTGTTTATTTGCTTTTTCCAATTTCTTAAGGACAAAAAGACGGGTAGTATGACAAAAGGTAAACTACTTTGCTTCTATGCCCAGCCCCACACAGACATGACACACTCATTAACATTGAGCCTTCCATGCATGCAGGGTCTGTGTAGTTTTGTAGGAAAAAGAGTGTTTTCTGTTCAGCATGGATGATGGATTTAGAACTGCTTGTACTATAAGGTAAATAATACAAAAAGTACTGTAAAAAGGCCTGTTAGATCATTCTTTCCAGTAAGTCATTCATTTAATCTAAAGTCCCAGGAAATACAGTGCTCTGAACCCTGACACTCATCGACCAGTGTTGAACAGTAAATAAAGCAAATCCCATTCCTAAATCAGAATATCAATTTTAAGCCTGACATGATTGAATTTTAGCTGATTTACATTAATTACAGGAATACCATTGTGATAACAATACATTTTCAAACAAGCTTAGAGGGATGGTCTCTTGACTGCCTGAACGTAATGCAAGATCACTCTATTGCCAAAAGCAGTCCTCCTGCTGCAACTCTGGTGCCTTGCATTAGTGATCACACAGCTGCTGACCTGGCTGAGAACTCTGCAGCAGGATGAGCAGATCCCACTCTCTGCACCATCATTTATTCATTAGTGTCAATGCAAGGAAATATGTAGCCCAGGCAGAACAGACTGGAACATCTCTTTCACAGGCTTAAGTCACCTGGGAAACTACCCATGAGGTCTTGAAAAATGTGAAGGCAAATGGCAGAAGCTCAATAAGACAAAAGGAGAACAAAATTATTATATTCCTTTTATTTTTTTCTTCAAATGTGCTGCAAATATAATACCAGAAAAGCAGACTCAAGAGTAATTATTGTTTCAAAGGCACAGCACTTGCAAAATGACTAGAATTTTCCATTATATTTAGGCTTCTTGTTCACACTGTAGTCCTTAAGTCTCTGCTCCACAGAGTCCACAGGTGGTTTGTGCATGAGCCCAAAACTGGCTGTTTCTTGTGACTTCACCAACAGCAAATGAGTCTTCATGAACACTTCCACTGGGCCTGCACCATGACCTTTCATCTCACCAACCCCTCCCTGCAATCCTTTGCTGCAACCCCCTGCTAAGAGATGCAGACTGTTTTCTTTCTGTGTAAGGTGCTGATTAGTTTTTGATTGGTTTCACAGCGACACAAAATTATGTGCTTGGTCATGTTAGTCCTATTTGTACAGTAAAAAAAATAATTGTAAAAACGGCTTGTGTAGGTTTCAAACAGCCTATGTTAAGCCACTGTTTCTCATGTAGTTGTGGTGTCCATACGGAAGAGGTGTCACCTCTCCACACAGTAAAACAAGAAGCTTCAACACTTTTCAGGCAGGCTGGCAGAGTGATGTGTTAATCTGCTCCCATTAACAAGACAGCAAATTCCCAGTTGATCACCCAATTCAAATTAAGCACGTGTAATCTCATGGTGACACTCACAATGGTGTTAAGGTAATACATACATAGAGATAGATAGGATGAAGTAAGTGTCCTAAGGAGTGCTCAGCTTCCAACATTAATGTCAAGTAGGTGCTCTGAATTTTAATAAGGGTCATTGATACCCAACTCCTGTGATCACTGTTTTAAAGGCAGAGCCTTTTAATGGAGTCAGTCTTCTGCATGCTACACAAGGTGTGTAGGCAATGTTACAGGTTTTCCAGTTCGTGGCAGGATGGGGGAGTCCCATCAGATTCCACCATGGAGGTGTACTTTATGGGAGGTGGTGGTGGCTTGAAAGATGGAGGTCTGTCCATACTGAAATAAAAGAGAATTGCACTATGACGCAAAACCTCATAAAAGACTGTTGTAAAATGTTCACCAGAGGAGGCAGATGGACACTAAGTCATTGTAAGAGCACCTGACATTATCTCTTACATACTGCGACTTCCCTGATTCTGTTTTATAACCCCATCACACTTCCTGGTATTCATTTGGCCTTCTCAGCTCTCACGTCACAATTTTACTTTATTCATGTTTTAAAAGAACAGAACATGGTCCTGATGAACCATTCAAAATCCTTGCAGTGACCTTTTGCTCACACTGCTCTCTGAAGATATATTTGAAGACTCATAACTTATCCTTTTGGTAAATTTATAGGCCAAGATAAATAAAGGGTCCCATTCCAAATAAGTGAAAAAATCAATGCTGTTTTTAATTTTGATTTGCAGCTGTGTTTCAGAAGGGTTTTCTAGAACCATAAGTGATTGATTATCACTATAGCATCATATTTTTCAGAAGTTTTAGTAATACAAGTAAGATTAAAATAATTGTCGCTTAGATACTGCTTTCACCAGATCTCTGAGTACTTTATTGGGGAATTAAACTTTGGAAATAATTACAAACTCAATGCTTCTTTGACTGGGATTAAGTTACAGGTAGCCTACTTTCACATATATTATTCACAACTCAAATAGAGTTGCCCTAGAAGTACCATTTCATTAAAACATGTCCTCAAGTAACATGGAAAATGAGAAAGCAAAAGCAGCTAGTAGGGAGGCTAATAGAAGTGGGGGACTCTGGGGACAAAATTTGACTCTTATTCTTCCCTTACACCCTGAAGCTGCACTGCAGCTCTTTTCTTAAAGTTTATTTTAAAGATAACCCACAGAACAGATGAAAGAACTGACAACACTTGTCTTTTCATATGACTGTATGAAAAAAAGGCATTAGCTATCTATGTACTTAAAGGCCTCATGCACTATGAGTCATCTCAAATGAGAAGGGGTAAATCCAAACAACTGGGTTAGAGTCTGAGCTGCCTTCTGTGCCACCCCTCCTGCCCCTGTGGCTCCCCTCACTTGTACTTACATCTCTTTCTGGTACTGGCACCATTTCCTGATGCCTAAAGCTATTAGACAACTGCAGAAGAGGAGCAGGACAGCTACCACTGTTGGCCAGGGGAAGTGACTGGCTTTCATGTTCCTCCCAGCACCTGTAAGAGACACACTAGTCAGGGCTCAGAAGAACACCTTCAGTGAGGAGGGAAATCTGTGTGTGCTTGCTGTGCCTGCTGCTCAATACTTCCCCCTCAGCAGAGTACTGGTGTCAGCACAGCCCCAGATCAACACTGCATTGCTGTGTTCCCAGGCTGAGGATCCCAAACTCTGAGCATCGCAGCTCTGATTTATGGGCTTAACCCACTTTTGTTCTGACTGGGTTTCTGAGCAGATTTCGGCCACCCATCAGTTCACATGATGAAATTATTCAAGGACAATCCAGCAAGCATTTCATCCAAAACCCATTGGCTTTCTCTTTCCGTGAAAAGCTTCTCTGCAAAGAGGAGGCATGTCACAGTGCAGCCAGGCCCAGCTGGCCATGTCACAGTGCAGCCAGGCACAGCTGGCCACACCAACCCTCCTTCCCAACAGCTTATTTTTCATGTCACTGACACCAAACCCTGCTGAAATATCTGGACAAGGGCTCAGCTGCCTTTTGAGGTGGGCTCTTGTTGGCAGTACAGCACCCCTGCCTCCCTGCAGCTGCCTCTCCCCACTGCAGTGCTGGGATTCCTCCATTTCCCCTGCTCCACAGCCACTCTTGGGGGTGCTGGCAGCTCACAGAGGTGCCCTTAGGGTCCTAAGTACAGAGAAAAAGGAGAGAAGCACCATAGTCCTTCTCCAGATGATGCAGAGGGTGCAGCAGTGGTCTGGGTGCCAGAAGCCAGAGGGGGCTGGAGCACACGTCATGGGTGATACACCTCAGTGTCACCTCGTGTTGTGCTGGCACCACAACCCTTGTGAGGCTGGAGAGACTGGTACCTCACCCAGCCTGGGCCTTAGCCACCATGGTAGCCAGTGCTGTGTCCAAGCACCAAGTCCACCACACTGCATGAGCCATGAGAGGCCCCTGAGCCACGGAAGTGTGACTGGCCAAATTTTCCTGCTGGAAGAAAACATGCACTGGGACTTAGCTTGCAGATGGAGGGAGAAAGCTGGAATGCCAAAATCCCATGACAACGTGCGGTATGAGAACACAGCAGCTCTGACTCCTCCTTTTGCCTCTTTTCCCTTTATTGAAAGCCCTTGGTCAAATGGATATAATGCACCTGATTTTGGGCTTCTTTGCTTTTCTTGCTTACTGCAACAGCACACTGGAAGAAGAGGATTTATAGGATAATGTCTCACCAGTACTGTTGAGCAGACTGCTGGTAGTAAATAAATCTTTCTCTCTGGTAACTGAAATTGTCTGGTCTGTGATGCTAAAGGACAGGTTACCTAAAAAGATATGGGCACAGAATATTTTTAGTAACTTATTCTGGTTATTTTAAATGAAGGCTGTGTTTTGAACCCACTATTATTCACCCTGATGAAAACTGGAAATCAATTCCACGATCAGGGTGTCAAAATTCACTTGGCAAGATGCCTATATTTTTGACCTACAACCATAAAAAATAAACAAAGATAAAAAAATATGCTTTTATCAAATTAAAGAATATTAGAAGTAAGAAAGAAAGACTATTGCAAAACAGCTCTTAAGATGTTCCAGCCGGCCAGCATTGAGCTGTACAGCAGTCTAGGAGAATGATAAGCTTTTTACCTCTTTGATGATAATAAAAAAACCTAAAGATATTAAGTGGCTTAGCAGCAACACAAAGAGCCTGCCTTTGCCACGACTGAGCAAAACCTCAGTCTCCTCTGTCAAGTACTGTGTCTGAACCACAAAATTCATCTATCATCTGTTTGTAGAAGGTATTTTGCCTTCACTAATACAACTAAGCTACCTATATTTAAGATCAGTGCTGCCTAAGGATACATTTCTGTTTTTTCTAGCCACCTCCATTTTTGCAGCTTGTGAAATAATTGCTAAAATACTCAGCTAGACAATGGCACAGCATTTCCAGAGCTGCCACGGCACTTACGATACACCAGGGTTGTATTCTCAGAGGAGTGCGTGGCATTCCGGAGGCTTTGTGGGGATTCAGTGGTGGAATCATTCAAATCTGTATGAAAAGAAATAATGTCCTTCAATTATCTTACAAGACAGTACGTGACTGCTTTATTAGGCTCAACTGTGACTATTCTGCACTCTTTGCCTTTCTCTGATGCGAACAACAAATGAAATAACAGAGGAACCTGAAAGTCTCTGGTATAATTGCAGATTTATAAATCCAAGGAAAAAAAATCTATTGTTTAAATAATGCAAATGAATAACCAGACAGAACAGGGAAAATCTCTTTCATATGTGATGTTGGCTTTGATTGAAATTGAGTGCTCAGGTGTGTGTGTGTACGTACGCATTAAAACCCTATGAAAATCAGTCCGGTTTTAGGGCACTCTAAAAATTCACTGGGAGTTTTGGATATTAATTCAGTTCATTTCCTCTTGCTTATTAGGTGTTTAATTTGATGGGAATAAGCATGATAGATCTGGCATTTTTAAAAAGTTAGAAAAAAAAGGATATACACTTAGCAATCCCACAGCACTGTGCTCTATACAGCACACTGATGAGCAGTACTTATTCTTATTTACATAATGGCTTATGTTAGAGCTTCTGAGGACCAAAATGATAATGGCAATCTCTGTTGGATGAGCCCAAATGGCTCTGCGAGGGCACAGGAACACAGGTTGGCATTCCTCAGCAGGCTCACTGGTGCCCGTGAGCTTTGAAATTGCCCTCAATTACAGCTGCAGGACTGAGGACCCTTCAAGGCCATTATCTCTCAGCTGGTGGTCAGGTGGGTACGGTTGTAGGGAAGCAGTGACAGGGATGTGAGGGTGAGTGGTGCACCACACGGTGTCTCCTGCAAATAGCTTCAGCACGCTTTTAGCAAAACTTGCAACCGGCAAGCTGTGCAAGAGCAGAATTGTGAAGCATTAGAAGTTGTCACAAGGTTGTGGTCTAAATGCATGGTTGTGGGCTATACGTGGGTAAATAGTCACTGGAGTGCTGCCAAAAAATATATTCAGAAAATGGAAAGCGGCTGCTACATTTGCACTTCAGCCAAAAAGAAGTCTCCCATGCAAATGCAAAAGTGCACTGACAGGTCCTGCCTGTTCCAAAAGCACAAAGACAAACCAAGATGTTATAAAGAAAGTCACTCTGGGCTTTGTACTGCTGAGCAGAGATTTTCTAAAGGGAAAGACTTGTGAAAAATTGTTCACCTTAGGGGTTTTTTTTATTGATTTATTGATCTTTAATGAGACTGCCTTTCAATGTTCTATTAGCCAGCCTTTATTGCTCCACATTATCTCATTATTTCACTGCTGCTCTACGATTTTATTTAGCTTCACTGGCAATTTATTTCATCTATAAACTACCTTCGGTACTCACTACGTTTGCCTAGCGACTCTCTCAATTGTAATATTATTAAAATGAATGCGGCTAATGAAACCAGGATACTCATACATTTTTCTGTTCCTCTTTTGACACTGTAAATCCTTGATGGCTTGGAAACTCAAGCCTTTATCTTCAAACTCAGCAGAACTCAACAGGGAAATTGCTTCTGTGAAGTATTGAAAAGCTGGTACAGATTTCTCCACCTGACTTTTGGCCTCTGCTCAGACACAACCTTTCCATGTTTAGCAATAATTTTCACATGGCAATGTGATGACTATCAACTAGCAGCTGAAAATAAACAGCACAGAGTTAATGCTCTCAGCAAAGGCATCATAAACTGAGGGCCTGAGGACCTACTTCTGTGCTTTTTGCAAGATGCTCCAGATCACTGTAGATTTGCAACCCAACACTCTAAGTTGGTTCCACATTTGCACTTCACAGCCCCCACCATTGTCTTGATAACTCCCCTGTTACAGTCCTATGAAGCAAAAGAAATGCATCATCTACTCACATGCTGTTGTCAAACCCTCACTGAATGCTTTGTGGCTGGTATAGTGTTCTGTCTCTGTGGTAGAAGTCAATGCTCCTGATGAACAACACATAAGCTTGTAAAAATGCTGTAGACAGCATGACTTGTTTTTCATTTTCACCCTCTTTTTCCCCCCATTTCCTGACTAACGAGGTCAAATGGTTGTAGCCTGCTACTTGAGATGTTGGCTTCCCTCAGACAAGCACTATATAACTCTGTGTCTGGTTTGAAAGCCTATCACAAGCTAGAAACTCAAGAGGAGTTTGCTGAGATAGATGAATAAACTTTGAGAAAACATTTGAAGCATTTTTATATTCCAGCTTAGTTTCAGGCAAAACTCAGGAGTTCGAGTGCACTGGCTTGTTTTGACCTGAAGCCAGCAGAGCGATGAACAAATGTACATAAATCAGAATTTAGACAGGATTTCATCAGTTCCAGTGAAACAAAACTGTTTTCCCAACTAGCAAAGGGAAGTTTTGAAGAAGCTGTTGTACAGAAGTCACGTCTGCAATGTCTCGTGCTAAATGCCAACTTATTTAACATTTTCCTTTGGGATTTTTTTTTTTAAGTGCTAAGATTTCTAGAGCTCAGCTAGCTGTTTTTCTGATATTCAAACACAGACAGATGGTGGCTAGCAATTAGACCTCTATTTTCCCAAGAGAACTATTTCACATTTATTAAAAAGAGTCCATCTTTCGTAACAACTGCCTCCTTCTTGTAAAAATATCATAAAGCCATCTAAACAGACCTGAGAAGGTGAAATGCAGCTGTAACCCATCGCACAAAGCCTGAGCATCTCTGGGCTCTGAGACAGAGCTACCACAGAAGCTAAGCAAAGACCAGGCTGCAGTTTTAACAGCTTTGGTTTTGTCTCTCATTCTCCTGCTTTTGTATATATATGTGCACTCTTCCCTCATATCCCATTCCCAGCTGTCTCTTAGATTTTCATTAAAAACTTGGAAAACTGCAGGAACTGAACCAAACCAGTAGTCTTAAATGTCAGACTTGGATTTGGCATCCTGACTTAGCTGCAGCCCAGAGGATCTGCTCAAGAAACTGATGGAGGCATCAGTGTGAGAACCAGCAGTGAGTTAGAGAGAAGCACTAACCCATGGCTGGCATACAATTACCACACATTGGGAGCATTGGTTAGAAGGCAGTTGTTTCCTGGGCTACTTACAGAAGAAGAATGTCTCAGCTCCATCTTACATTATGACTTTGACCTCGTACCTCCACAACCAGTGGAGATGTGTAATTCAGTGAGGAGAATCCTCTCTGTTCACATTGTACGTTTATAGTCTTTGTCAGTAAATCCTTTGTTGAGACAGAAAGGCTTTCAGTCCACTTGGAAAAGCAACTTTGCTGTTCTGCTGTCAGACAGGCAGGTGTCTCTACTTTGGGGATGGGGAAGGCAGTGAGAAGCAGCCAAGTTTTATTTCAGTGCTGCTGTAGTCTATATTCCTGCATTCCTGACTTGGCCTATCTCAGTCTAGCCTCTTCATGCCCCACAGCTAGATGTTCAGTGATTCAGCTCCCAAAGATCATTCTTCTGGGGCAGGACAAAATCTTGTGTTCAGTGTCTTCCTCCAGTATTACCTCCCACACTGCCCATGACATTACTCACTGATCTCTGGGTAAATACTGCTATAGTATAGTGTAGGTTACTTTGAGTGAAGGCTGCAGGATTGACTTGCATAGCCCAAGGAGGACAGTCAATGCCCCACAGGCTCATGAAAGTTAGTCTGTTGCAACCAATTTTCTTTTTCTGGAGAGCAAGGCTAACATAAATACCAACATCCAAATCCTCTCTTGCTGATGGCTGCCTCAATGATGGATCATTGCTGAGCCAAAGCTTTGGTGCTCTTGAGGAGGGGAAGATAGCATTTGACAATAACCTGACACATTGCCTTTCACCTTGTGCTGCCTGTGCTGCTGTTTCATGTGTGCCAGTTTGTCATCAGTGTGTGCCATGAATGTGTTTTTTCAGGAGGTGTAGCACTGAGCACATGTCTTGCTGCTGGTGAGGGCAGCCCCAGCACCCTTCTATTTGCTGCTTAAAACCATACAGTCCTACAGGGGTCAACAGCTGGGCTTCAAAATGGACAGAGACTTTAAAGAAAAAAGAAGGGCGGTGCTACAAGAAAATGCACTCTGCTGGGCATAACCCTATATTTTGAGATCAGAAGGTGGGAGGTTCTCAGCTTCCACTGTTTCAGGCAGCTGGTGCACATACTTCTCCCTGGGCAATCCAGGTTAAATCCTTTCAAGTGGCTTACCCTGCCCTCCACTGGCCTCAGTGTCACCAGGCCAGAGAACTCACTGTTGAGTCATCTGTTGTAAATATTTTATCAGTGCTTTGTATTTGTACTTCTGTGCGCTGATGTTTGGGTTGCACTTTTTCTAGCTCTAATGTAATTCTATTTTAGTATGATATTTAATTAAAGAGAATAGGTATTCTTTGTAATAAATATAAAAATCACTGTAATTAATATATATATATATATATATTCCATGTCTGTTCACTTGCTGAAATTAATGCATATATCCTTAAAGGACCATTAAAAAAGATAAAAATCAGGACAGCATTTTCTCATATATTTATTTTAAACTGTGATTACACTAACTGTGTCTGTAGACTTCCTAGTCTATAATGCACTAGGAAAAGGGTTTCAGTGGACATTAAATTGTTTGCTAAAAAAATGCAAGACGATTGTTGTGTTTATGTGTCTTTCTCCAACATTCTTGAAGCAATAGAGAAAACATTTTGGCTGAATTGATTTACCTTGTGTTATGGAAGCAGGAGCCAAGTTTGCTTGACTTGTGAAGTCCAGAGAGGCCAAAGACGTCGACTGGTGCTCTAAAGACAAATGGATTACACGATATCACATTTAGTCGATAGGCTCTTTAGAAAATAATATTAATAAATCATAAAACAACCTAGATCAAAGAGCTTGCAGCAGCTTTTGGGTAAATGCAGGCTCTGCAGCAGAAATCCCAGTTAAGGCTAGATGCTCAAAACGTATCCCACAAATTCAGGGGGCATTCAGCTGATGTTATTGATGCTGACCCACCATGTGGGCTGGCTGTGTGCATTATTTTATGTTGCTATACACAGGCTTCAGTTTAACTACTGTGGAGTGGATCAAGCACTTGATGGTGGCACTCCCCCACTTAAACAGGGCCTTGCCAGAAATGGTCCATGACAACATGCCACAGGTGTATAAGCCCAGGAGATCACCTGCTCTTATGGGTTTCCTCTCAAGTGCTGAAGATGGTTCTATGTAGTTATCTATGTGCATTCTCTGGTGAAGCAGAATTAGTTACTTTACATAATTAATGAATGGAAATGATGCACTACTGTTGGGTCAAGGAAACGTGGTGGATTTAACTTTTCAATCACGTGAACTTCTCTGTCATAACAGGACAAATTTATTTATAGTTGTACAGGAATTTTATTCAGTATTACACAAAGACATAAGAATAATATGCCATATTCAGCATGCCATTTCATACGCTGTCCTAACATGACAGCTTTAGCATTATTTCTGTCAGATCTCTTCTCTGGTAACTTTACAGCTCACAAATTCCCACTCAGCAGCACACAGGTACCATCACTACCAGAGCACTCTGACCTTTTCCTGGCACACCTATGGCTCTGTGTACATTGCATTTAAGCACTGGTCAAGCAGAGATCTTAGATATATTGAATAAGTAATAAAGAAGGCTTTTATTTCCACCTCCCTCCCCCACCTGAGGCAGCCGTGACAGCTGATAACAGTGCTGAATTATCAAAGTCTATAATAAATCAAAGGAAATACTTTTACTCAGCATAAGAAAGGTGTTTATTCTGCTTTAGGAAAGTAGGTGATTCAAAGGTTCCAGAGCAAAAGAGTACAGCACAACTAATTTCCATATAATTTTTCAGGGCGTAACTCAGCCAAGTGGTCCAGAGAGAAACATGACACCCCTGAGGTAGCTGCTGTGAAATTTCTAGGGAAACAAAGGTTTGGGGGAAAAGAACTTTGGAGCCTCTGGCCCCTCAACTCAAAAAGCAGAAGTGATTTACATGGGTTTATTCCATACAAAGAGATGCACCTTATTAGCATGAATGGTGAAATAACATATATGACCTGGTGGTGGCACCTGCACAGCTCCATCTGTGAGGCACTTCAGAGGCTGCAACTCTGACAGAACGTTTCAGAGACACTTTGCACTGAAAAGTCCTCAAAGAAGCACAGAGGGAGTTATTCCTTGTAATTAAAGAACTGTCAACCATCCAAGTAAGCACAGCAGAGACAACATCCTGCCCAAACAGTTTTTATGTCCCAAGTGAGAGATGTCTCACATTTTTCTTTTTTTCCCTGGGAGAAGAGGCAAAGTACTCCCTGAGTAGGTTAGGAGGATGGATTATGTCTCTTCCAAGGGGTACATGAAGGAAATGATCTATGAAAGCTCACACACCCCATTAGAAAACCCTATCTGGGAAGACAGCCAGAAGGTACCTCTGTCTGGTCAGCCACGTGTGTAGGGCACTGGGGTGAGTGACCCTCTGCAGATTGGATCTTAGCATAAGTAGGTAACCATCAACTCTCCACCTGCTTTCCCATGCAAGCATTTGTACCTCCTTTAACAGTTTTGAGTGTTGCTCTTTCCATTTGCATTGCATCTTAACTTTGCCTGCACTAACAGCAATTTTGCCATAGATGGTTGACATTAAGGGCTCCATACCAAAGATGCTACAGGTCCAGAAAACAGAGCAGCAGGGCACCTTGAGGTGTGCCTGGCTCCCAGTATGTTTCTGCAGAGTGTACGAGGCAAAGCAGGATGGTGACCTGATGCAAGATGCTAGGGTTCCTTTGAGAGATCACCTTGCAGAGGCCAGGGGAGAACAAAGTCTCTGTCTCAGGGATCCCTGATACCTGGGATGGCTTTCTGGTGCCCAGTGGGGTATTGGCTGAAACCCCAGGGCCTGCCACTACCTGTGCTTGCAGAAGCAAACTCACAGATAAATCACACTTCTTCCCGCTCCATTTGTGTACAGCTTTTCTCTGATACACTCACTGCTAAAGTGCAGCTGCCTCCCATGCAGAGCAGAGCAAACTGCTCCAGGAGAGGCATCTCCAAAGAGCTTCAGTTGAGGTGTGGAGGGAACACTTCTCTGTCTGCAATGTGCAGATAAATAAGACAAACTTGCAGAGGCAGAGTAGGGATTTACCAAATTTTCACAAATTAAGAAACATCCTATCAGTTCTTTAATTAGGCAAAAGCTTTGAGGATCTTGGCTGTGTATTTAAGCAGAAGGTAGAGCCATTAGCAGGGCTGTTATTTTTAATTATTAGTTCAGTGCTGAAAGACCTATATCCAAATGCCAGCTGAAGCATCAGAAATAACATTAAGTGCCCCTCAAGGCTGGAGTTTAATTATGCTTGGTCTTAATTATGATAGATTACACCACCAAATCTCTGTTTATCGTATTTTCTCTAAAGCCATAGCTGCAGAAAGGGGTACCTTACTACACATTTAGGGTTGTAAATGCTACAACAGCTTTATGAGTTTATAGACACACCTCTAACATAACCCAAGTTATTTTGTTCTCTAATTTATCCTACCTTCTGAAACCATGGTGGTAAAAACTTCAGATGAGGCTTCATTAGACTTATTGTCTGTGAAGAAAAAAAAAAAAGAGAAAGATGAAAGCAGTTCTTAAAAGTAGTTATAAAGGCTGAAAATTTAGTTTGGGCTTGTGTCATACTGTGCACCTTTGCAGAACATGGCTGAGAATTAATATAATTCTTTCCTTTCTGTCACATCTAAATACATGAACCTTTTTATACAGAGTGGATCTATCTTAGTGTTAGCATAGCCTGCAGGCAAGAATGTAGACTGCTTTAATTGACGGCTCTCCAATTTGAATATATTTCTACAAAACTGCATATTGGGTGAAATGAGTCATTTTGGAGAAAATGATGATTTATCTCCTTTCTCTCTGAAGCTATGTTTCCAGAGGAGTAAGCCCTGGCTTTTGATGCAGTCTTATTTTGTGGAAAAACATACCAATAAGCATATCCACAGCCACAAGTGAAGCTGCAAGTCACAGTACATGATGTACCCGTCGATGCTGCTAAGGGGTCAGCAGCTCAGTCATAATGTTTGTGCAGCCAGGAGCACACATAATTTTAAAAAACCCAAAAAAACCAACAGAAAGCAGGTGTAACTATGCATTTGCACCTGAAAAGAAGACATGCACAAGAGGGTGCTAAAGGAAATCTGTCTGCCCTTCTCATCAACCACCATCTACCCTCGGAAATGATGAAAACCTCAGCATCACCAAGTCTCCCACTTTCACCAAAAAAGCAGGACAGTATTTCTCCCCATGTCCCTAATCATGTAGCTAATTCTTATAGGACAGGTGATAGGCGAGTTTTTCCATCATCCAAAATGGTTCAATATCTTGCAGGTTTCACTGAAGATATATAACATAGCCCTGACTCTGAGGGTATGATTTTCCAGGGAGCTTCACTGCCATGAGCACTCAGTGAGATGCATATAGATCACTGGTGCCATGTGGCTATGCTAATCTACTTTGTGGCATGGGAAGTACAGCAAGATACTGCCTAAACAAGCAACAAGCATATTCTGTTTGTGCAGGAGTTTCTTAAGTCATTTAGAGGCTTGGGCAAAGACTTGAGCTAAAAAACCTGCCAAAAAGTTCAAGCTGTGTAATGAAGTTATACAATAAAACTTCCATACTCTTGGCATTTCTTCAGTATTTTAGATAACAGAGAATACATGTGTTTGCTGTTCTTAACATTTCAGATGTTTCAGATCTATGAAAAACCTACCAAAGGAAACAAATATTTCTTCTGATGAAATATTCCGTGTTTCATTCCCAAGGAAGGGGAACAGACATACACATGAGAATGTCTTATGTGTCTCCTGGGTCCCTTGCAGCATCACTGTTGATCTCAATTGATAGAAACCTTCACTGTCTTGTGAGTCTTCTTGTTCAACAGAAATTTCTTGGGGGAAAAAAAGAAAACAAAAGACCCTCTCATTACACTCCAAACTACAAATTAGAGCTATGCAAAATATTGGTGCTGAAAAGCAGGCTCATATAGCTGCTGGTTTCTTTGCTGAGACACTACCAAAGATTTGGCAAGAACAGCACAGTTATGCCAAACCATGGTTCCCATCACTGGCATTTGCAGGGGGCTATGGTCACAGCCATTTGTCAGCAGTTTCCTTTAAGGAGGCCTGATACTCTCCCCTTCACTCAGACAGACAGCTACAGGATCCTTGTGGCAGGACTGGATAAGAAACCATTGCTTTTCTTGGGAACTGTTCCCACAGCTGTGCCATTGTCATATTGACACGTTGCTTTACCTTCAGGCTGCTCCATCAGGCTTGCTCTGTCCACATACCACACGAGTCTTGGCTTGGGAAACGCCTTGCTCACGACACAGCTCACATTAGGCTATGGGGCAGAAAAAGCCAGTTATTAGGTTAGGCTTCAACATTTCTCACCTGGCTGTTGGCTTCCAATGCCCTCTATTTGTTTACTCACAATTCTGCTCTGGAAGGAAGCACTTGCTTCCTCTTTATTGCCTTTCTTGCCCACTCTCCTCATTCTTCTGTTTGCAGACACTGTCGAATGAGAGCCCAGGGATACTCCCATTGCCCTGGGTGAATGGACTCCAACCCCCTGCAGTCCTGTGCTGTAGCTGGAGACATGTACAGTGCCCTCCTGCCCCCCGTGACAAATGCTCACATGGAAAAACACTAGAATTGGTAATTGGCATGGTGTGTATAAGGAGAATGAAGTACATGTGAATGCTATGTTAATCTTTCCTCTTTTGGGCAGATAAAGAGACAAATCCCATGAAAAAGACTGCCTTGCACAATGATAAGTAGAACATACAAAATTAGATACCTTGTACATGATATGTAAGAGTTTTCCAGAAATCAGTGCTTTAGATACAGTAGTCCTGGCTCTATGCTAATTGTTCCAAAAATTTTTGTTTATAGTCCATTTAATTTCTCATCAATCAATAGAATCATAGAATCAACCTAGCTGGAAGAGACCTCAAAGATCACAAAGTCCAACCCTACTGTTGTTACTAGACCACGGCACTAAGTGCCACATCCAGTCTCATCTTGAAAACCTCCAGGGATGGTGAATCCACCACCTCCCCAGACAGCCCATTCCAGTGCCTGATCACTCTCTCTGTAAAAAATATCTTCCTAATATCCAACCTAAACCTCCCCTGGCAGAGCTTGAGTCTGTGCCCTCTTGTCCTGCTTCTGGTTGCCAGGGAGGAGTGATCAACCCCCACCTGACTACAACCTCCTTTCAGGGAGTTGTAGAGGGTGATAAGGTCTCCCCTAAGCCTCCTCTTCTCCAGCCTAAAATAGATGGGAATAGATGGGAAGGTTCTCAAACTCAAGGCTAGATGAAGGGTTGGGCAGTAGCAGGGTGGGAAGTCTCATCCTCATGCTGCCTGGATGTTCCCAATTACATATATTTGGCAGGTTATAACAGTGCTAAGTACTAAGTACTGTTATAAGAGAACTTGCCTTGTTCTTTTAAACAGAAAAAAAGAAAAAAGCATGTGCTACTCATGCAGCACAAAACCCTCTTGCTCCCACTTTCAAAGAAAGTGGTTCCCACATTTAGTTGAAAGCAAGCTTGATGTACTGCAGCCAGCAGAAGTCAATCATTCAGTACAAAGACTGAAACTACCCAGCTGAAATTCTTTCCCTGCCATGGTAAATAACATCTGAAATTGTAGTGTAATTGCTTTCACCTGTTTTCTCTTCATTATTCCCTTATTTTTCAGGCACTTTTAGGTCATAATATTTAAATAAAAGCTTCCTATGAAGAAATACAAATCTGATATCCACACTAGATTTAAACCAGAAAAGAGAAGTAAAGGAGTTGGTGTCTGTTTGTACATGAGGAATGGACAGAGACTCTTCAAGGAGTTTCTATTGCCCAGCCCCATCATAGCAGCATCCCTTGCTCTGTTCAACAGGACAGTGCAGGCCAAAGCCTGCAATGTCCAACAGCACACCTGGAAATAGGCCACCAGGAAAATTATACCAGTTTTGCAGAAGCAGCTGACTCATGGTTTGTCTGAAGCAAGTGGATATGGTTAGTATAAGGTTCTGCCTGCCCCAAAGCTCTGTTTCTAAGGAAAACCTTCTTAATTTGGGATGCTCACATATTGAAAGCTTCGACCTGGATAGATGCTACAGGAAGCAAAGCACCACAGCTAGTAGCCAGAATGGCTTGGTAGTCAGACATATGGGTCACATATGACATTTTTATGCCAAGTATGGCCAGGGCAGTTCAGCAGCCCTTTAGGTTTTGCCATTATCAAGCTTATGATAACACAGAGGCTCCAAAACACATAGTCTCTCTAAATAAGGGCTCTCAGACTTAGATCCAGTTGCTCTATTGGCATCTGTGAGCCTCAGCTGAGATCTACTTGCAGCATAATACATGATGCCCAGCATGATCATCACCTTTCCATCAACATGCCAGGCCTTGTTGGTGCCCTGAGCATTGCTCCCACAGCACCTGCTCCTTCCTGTCCCAGGGGGTCTGTGGGGGCTTCTGCTGCCTGACCCCTTGGAGCAACATCCTGGGTAGCAGGTGACCTTCTTCAGAGAGGGATTTTATGCAGTGTGGAGCAGATAGCTTGAGCTTTTTGGGTGGTAACTGGAAGATGAGGAGGGAAAGGGAGAATCACATCCCCATGCAACATCATTGGCTCATCACAGCCTCTTGTGCTGTCCTGGAATCTTTCCTAAGTCTAACACAGAACCAGATTTTTGCCATGCAACAGAGAAGACCTTAGCTAGCTCCAGTTTGTGCTCTCTGAAGCAGTTCACTGCTGTGGTGATGGGAGTCTCTCAGAGGAAGGGAAAGAATGGCTGACATTAACTCATTGCCTTGACTATTTTCCTGTGATCTCAGTCAGTTTGGAGGTTGCACCTATGTCTGACTCAGCTCAGCTTGTCTGGCCCTGCTGGGGTGGCATGGTGGTGGTCACAGTCATCACTATTTGCTCCAAAATTGCTCACCTTCTGTGAGGTGCCAGCTGAGCCATCCTGCAGGCTAATAGAGATCTCAGGGTGAGCTGGAAAGCAAACATAAATGTATTAGTGAAATGGACACCAAAGATCACAGTAACAGCTTTTAATAAGACTTAACAGCCTTGTTTCATATAAAGAGTGGAAATTAAATTCTACCTCCACCCACACATCTAACAAGATAAAAGCTTGCACAGCTGCGATTTAAGGTCAAGGAAATGGTTTACAAGCATCAGCTTGTACAGCATCAGCTTATATCAGCAGCTACTACCACAGGATCCATAATGTATTTCACTGTCTATCTAAACTATGCTTGGATGGCTTTGCTGGGGAAACAAGCTGAAACCATCCTGCAGTCATGGCTCTGGCAGCAGAGCCACCCTTCCCAGGCCTGATGAAATGAAACACATTGTAGTTGTTGGTTCCTCTGGATACCTGACAGTCAAAGTCACCTACAAAGGTTTTAACCATCCCCCAAAATGTTAAATGATTTTGGGTACCAGCTACCCACATGCTGTTGCCTGTTCAGATGTATGACAGTGTCACACCACAGATACTTCCTGCCTTGTCAGGAAGCCCGGAGCTCAACTTCACATCAGAGCAGTGGGTTGTCAATGACCACATCCACAAGAAATGGAAAAAGTATTTTCTTTTGTTTTCACAGCATTTTGGTCCTTGATGCTGCTGACTATGTAAATTAAAGCTACTGGGTACTGTAAGCCTCTCTAAGTTGTCATTTCTAAATTAGCCATTGGGATCTCTGGTTTGGAGTAATATTGACTGACTTGTTAAGTAAGGACTGTTGAAATTGTGTTAATAGATAACAAATCTCAAAAGCCTCATATAAATTGTGCTTTTGACCCTTTCTAAGCCTTGAAACTGGACTGAACAACTTGAAACAAGTACTGTCTTTGGATTAATTAGGGGTTACAAAATTCTTTCTCTTTCCAACCTAAACCTCACTTCATTACATTCCCTTCTGAGGTGAACTGCTCAAGTTTCCCTGTTGTTCTATATAGCTAATCTACCAAGGACTCTCCTGACTTCTTTCTTTTGTTTTAATTTCCATTTTTCTGCCTAATGCTATGGATACATTATACCTGGACTTGACTTCTATTTAATTATCATGGCTTTATGGTTTTCTGGACTTAGGGCACATTTTTTTTCCCTTCTGGTTTATGGAGGGTTTTTAAAATGATTTTATTGTTATTGTTTTTTAGGGAGGTTGTTTGTGTAGGTTTGTTTTGTTTAGGGTTTTTTTTTGGGGGGGAGGGGTAGTTGTGGGTTTGTTTTGTTTAGGGTTTTTTTTTTTGGGGGGGAGGGGTAGTTGGGTTTGGTAGATTATTCCTATAAGAAAATGATTGTCTTAAGATTTCATTCTTGTTTCTGCCTTGCCAAAATGGTACAGATGATAGTGGAGGTGGCAGAACACAACCATACTTTTTCAGATGTAAGGAAAAGGCTGGTAAACTGGATCTTCTAATCTCAGCAAAAAGTTGGCTGGGGAACTAAATTATATTTGATCTAGTGCATGCTCTTCCTTTTTTTTTTTTTTTATTTTTGTTTGGGTTTTTTTTTTTTTTTGTTTGGGTTTTTTTTTTTTTTTGTTTTTTTTTTTTTTTTTTTGGTTTTTTTGGTTTTTTTAAATGAGAACAGGTACACTTTTACACATCTTTATTGGCCGCTATCCTCTGGTTTCTCAGAAGACATTTTGCTGGGTAACTGTTCTGGAAGGTAGCTCTCATGCATAGCTCTGAATGATCTAATAGATCTTTTCCATTTAACATCTTAGCCCCTGTTAACAGCTTGACATTCATTTGTCTTGCTAGGATATTTACCATTGTTTTGGATCTAGCAGAAATTCAATATTTAGTTCAGTAGTTTCTGCTGCTGAGCTTTTACTCTTACAAAAAGGAGAAATCAATATTTGGCAAAATTAGATGTGAAAAGGCCATAGGTTTTCTCAGAAACTTGTATCTAAAAGGCCTCAATTCTAGAAAAGAAATATTTTAAAGCATTTCAGTCCAAAAGTAACTTCTTAAAAAAAACTCTCTTGTTTGACTGTCTGTCTTTACCCTACTTACCAAGACTCCCAACTGCATTGAGAGGCTTTTCCATGACTTCCCCATCCTCTCCTGCTCAGTCATACTCAAGCTACCTCAAGTCACTGTGAGGAAGCACCACTTCCACCCCTCAGACTTAGTCTGTCTCTGCTGTGTTTAGCACACTGTGAGGAAGCACCACTGCCACCCCTCTGACTTAGTCTGTCTCTGCTGTGTTTAGCCTTGCCTGAAGTATTTGTCAGGGTGATACTGCAGAAGGAGCTTTACAGAGGTGACAGCACCTTCCTCTCCTCTTCCTCCTCCTCCTTTTCCTCCTCCTCCTGCCCTTTACAGTACTGTGGTGCAATAACTGCCTTCCCTCTCTCCCTTGTTTTATTCCACCTAGCCCATGGGTTTCAATTGCACAAGAGTTTGGGTGGCAGGGAAGATACTGGCTTGCCAAGATGGAAAAATCTCCCCAAGTTTCAGCTGGCCTTTTTCTCTAGCTGCATCCTTACTAATGGCCAGGATGACAAATGTAACATTATCATGCTGACAATGTATACACATGTATCATGCTTTAGATCCTGTCCCAGTCACTTGAGGCTGGATCTAACTGCTGAGACATCTATGTTTATTTCTTCATTCCCTGGTCAGCTTTGGCACAAGAAACAAGAGAGGTGCTGTCATTTGAAGTGGGCATTTGTCTGTCCCTAAATGTCAACTGGAGTGCTGGATTATTCTGGCCACTGTCGAGAGGTACTGTCATTTGAAGTGGGCATTTTTCTGTCCCTAAATGTCAACTGAGTGCTGGATTATTCTGGCCACTGTCTCTGCCTGTTCTGCCCTGCCAGTAGTGCACAGGTGTGTGGGCTGGTGCAGAGGAGGCTCTAAATTCTCTGTTCTCAGCCTTCTCTCCTGCTGCAGCACAAGAGAGGTAAATGAAGAAAGGCTAGTATGATGCAATCATAAGCAATGTGACTTCAGCAAATGGTAACAGAAAAGAGTGACACACAATGTAAAATAGTTATTTCACCTGCAAATTATCAGACATGAAAGGGCTAGGAGCACAAAAACCACACTTCCTTCAAGGTAAGGACTCTATTTGCCTGAATTCTGAGAGACCTTCTTCAGCACCCACCACAAACCTCAGGGCTATAAGGGAGCCACAGGCACCTTGCCCTTGGGACCCCTGTGAGAGGGGCTGATGGCACAGTGCCCTGGTCCAAAGCCAGCCAGCACTTATTGGGAGATTCACAGGCTGTTCACTGCCAAGCATCACAGTTGTTTCCTCTTGTCTGCCTCTCTACCCTGCTGCACTAATATGCTGATGTGAGTGCATGCATAGACAAGCACACATCACACAGTTGTTCAGAGACAAAGCCAAACAAATCAGCCTCTTAGACTAACAGACACATAAACAAGGGAAGAGCATCAGCAGTGATGGAGGAAAGGGGAGAGCTCAAGTATGTTAGTATACTTGAACAATTACCCAGGTAACACTCTCACTATTTGACAAATGTTGATTTTAGAAGACTCATGTCTGAGTCATGTAAACGCAAGAGGAAATTTTAGATCATTAACTTCTATTTTTATGTCTTTTACGTCAGTGGCCAACAGTCCCCAGACAAAGGTTTTGGTTTTTTCTTTTGCTACTCCCCATTGAAATCGGACCATCAGTCTAGCATGACCACACTTCAAACCTTGGGCTTCCTTGGATAAGCAGGTACAGTCAAGGAACTATTGACAGACTCAGTGTTTAACACCATTCCTTTCAGGAACTTTGGAAATATGTTTTTCAGACCCATTGCTCTATAAGAAGAAAATACATTCTGGTTTTCAGTAGGAAGCATTTCTCTAAGAGTTTGTAGAGCAGTTCCTAAGCCACTAGGAAGGGAATAGAGGAAGTAAAAGTAACTAAAAATGGGAAAGCCTTCCAGCATGAAATGCCAGCCCATGTTGCTCCTGACCAGTTTGGGACCCCCAGGAAGGACCCTCATTTTCAGAGCCAGAGCCTTTGGCAGCAGTTGAACATCACATGCCTTTGAGGTTGTAACTTTGCTACAACAGGAGTTCCAAACTGCCTACTAAATTTTGGCCATGATTTCCTAATGACAGCAGCACAGACATTTGGGGAGTAGAGATCTTGATGACCAAGGTGTTTATCTGTGACACACAAAGTCCCAACATAAGCCTACACATCAGGGTGAGACACTGGAAATGTCCATGCCAGTGGGGTTGATACATGTGCAATGAATCTACTAGTTTTTCATACAAGAAATTGAAGGGGTGGCCTCAAATTTTTCTAAGAACTACATGGCTATTTACTAACATTTTACCTTATTTCAGCTGAAAAAAGCCCAAATAAGGTAAACATGCATATATTTTAAAATGCACTTTCAAAAGCTATTGGAGTGTTACCTTCCCAAGTGATTGGAAGCAGGCAGTTCACATAAGCCCCTTACCAAATACTCTCACCGTAGTGCTGCTCTTCTGAACTCTCTCTGGGTGGTACACCACATGGCAGAAGAACACCCTGCCATCATCACTGATTTTGGTGGGGAAAATCTTTAAAGCATTATTCAAACCCAGGTGGACTCTTTGCCTGTACAGCATGCTGCTGTTCCTGTACACAGCAGGACAGGAGGGCTCCTTGGCCACAAGTTCCTCTTTCCTGCCATTTTTGCCCTGTGAAAAGAAAAAAACACACAACTGTGAAGACCAGACACATAAACATTTTTTATAGGCCAACTCTATTCCCACTATGAAAATGTTCCCTTGCACCCCTAGTACTGGTTAGTAGTAAGTGAACATTAGCAACATTTTTTTTTCCAAATATGTTCTTTCCCAGAACTTCAAAACTAAGAGCAGACATCATAATACCAATAAAACATGGAGTAAATAGTTGTGTCTGGTGAGTCCTGATCTCTGAAGCCTTCAGAGAGGGCAACTGAGCTGCTTTCTTAGTGTTCCAATCTTTAAGTTATGCTGAACATCCCATACATATTAAATACAGCTGATATTTCAAGAAAATCTTTGCTCTTTTAGATTTTACATAGCAAGACCCTGATAATACTAACTAAAAGTAATCCCCTCTTATTGCCTGTGTGCCAGTCCCCCTTTGGTATAGGTAGAGGCAGCACATCCTGGACATCTGTGCCTCAGTGCATATTTGCAAGCTTTACTCTGTATGATGCGTAGCAACCCACACATGTCATTGTGCTGACCTTTGGGATTTGTTTTTTTCCCTTTCCTCTGCTATTTTGTAGAGTGAACTAGCAAAACTAAAAAGTAGTAAAAACACAGATGTTACCTACAAAAAAAAATTAAAATTTTAATATTAAGAATGACCTGCATAGGGGAGATCTAAATAGATAATGAGCCAGAACAAAAGGTTAAAAAAACCTAAAATATTTGAAAATTGCCTTTAAGAAAACCCTCAAGAGTTACAGCTCCTCAGTGACAATAGATATAAATTAACAGGCAAAGCTCAAGGACACTGCTTGCTGATGCCTATCTCTACATACTGAAATGAATACTAAAAGGTTACATTAAAACATCCATATAAATATTTATCCAAAAAGTGAGATAACACACAAAAATATAGCAAGCTTTATATCTCACAGCAAATTGCTTAAAAATAGTTTTTCATGTGGTTAGCTAGATAACTGGGTTTGCATGTCTTCAGCAGGCATCTATGACACAGAGGTTAACAAAACCAAAAACATTAGTCAATATGGTTTTTTCCTATCTCAAAGCAGCCTGATATCTCACTACCCTACACAGTAACTATGCATTTTTCAGATACTAAATCTTCACTACAGAAAAAAAATCCCTGAGAAGTCCAATGCAAGGAATATTTCAGTTCAGTTACTTTTGCCGCTTTCCATGGACCTGCTCTGTGTGTACTCCTGAAAAAAATAAACTAAGTTGGAATTTTCCCTCTTTGTTTCTTTAATAGCTATTCCTTGTGGTGTCTATGTTGCAAACCATGCTTATACTTTATTATCACTGGTCAAAGCAACTGATACGTTTTGTTTAGCAGATTCTGCAGGATGCAGCAAAGTAGAACATTTCTATTTCAATCTGCAAAAAAACCCTGTAGTTCTTTCTGAACTTTATTCCTGAGATGAAAACTGCTTACCACTAGCCATTTCAAAGGATAAGTGGACAAATTTTCTGAGGTCGTGTCCTCAAGGCATGGAATTTCTAAAGTCTGGTTGAGCTTCACGTAGTTCACTTCCTTCACGTAGTGCCGCTCCTCTTTTATCATTGCAGCAACAACAATGACAACAAAAAGCACAAGAAGGAAAATCAGAAATATGATGTTCATTGTGCTTTGAAAACCAATGCTGACTAGTCTTCTGTTCAAGGAAAAGGCACTTTTTTTGATTAGAAGGAAACTGTAATTTTCAACCATTCCCCATAGACACATTTGTTAAGTGAATGTCCTGCATCTAATTCTAGATGTAGTTTCATGACCTGAATTTTTGGGCAATTCATGAAAAGCTTTTCTTAACTGCAGGATCAAGATGTCTCCATTTGGAGCTGAGAATAATTTGAAGCTTCAATTTTTCTTTTACAATTTTTTTTCCCTGTGGCAGTAATCCTTCACATCAAATTTGTGCACCTATATTTCCTTTTCTCTGAGGATATCTGCAGACCTTCTTTTCACTAAGCAAAGTGTTCAGCATGTCAGGTTAAGATTAACCCCGTTTTTCAGTGTAAGTGCTCCTTTTGTTATTCCCCAACCTGTCCAGTACCACAAGCAGAAAACTTGTTACTTGTTCCTTTCTCAACCATTAAAAGAGGCATTTCATCATCTCCTACCTCACCCATTCCCACTCCAGGGCTCCAGTCCAGCTGTGGGAGGGCAGAGTGATGCACGGAACCGAGCACAGCTATGGTCCAGGCATTGCATCTGAGTGTGTGCATTTAAGAAGGAAGCACAGTGGTGGTGAGCAGGAGATGCTGCAAGTGCTCTGGTCAGCACTGACCCCTCTCTCAGCCATGCAGCAGGCAGTAGTGTGGTGCAGCTTGCTGTGCTGGCTGGCCATCCTCCCTGCCACCACGGTGACATGCCTTCCCTCTTCCTTGTAGGCAGACACCAGCACACACCACAGGGAAACCCTTCAACTTTGCTACTCTGGTAGCTCTGGCTTGCATGTTGACATAGAATAGATATGTATTTCCTTTATCTTTTGTCTTGAGAGGAATGAGAATATCTGGCTGTCTCAGATAGTCACATTATTTCTGAGTGGGGACTTTCCAGTGACTGTAACTTCGTTTGTGTCTGGCACCCAAGTACAGAGTGATGGGGCCAGGACACAATCTGTGTCACGGGGACTGGAAAGAATGCAACACCCAGAGTGGTGCCCTGGAGACCCAATGCAGAAGCAGCTTGTCTCCACTGTCCACCAGAGTGAAACAGCTGAGGAGTCAGCTCTCACAGTGGGACACAGTGTACAAGCCCTAAAGTGGGTGGATAGCGTGGAGAGGATAAAGAAAGGACAAAAGAAGCAAATCTATAGCTTCCCCAGGAAGAAAACTGCACAGAGGACTTTGCTGGGACAAGCTACCATGCAAAAGTGCTGTGCAGTGTACAAGTACAAAGATGAATAGTCACCCTAGGAATTCAGTCTGCAAACAGCCGCTGCTGTTCTCAGTTACATGTTGTTTTCTGTCTAAATTGCTTGTTTTTCCCCCACATCTCTATTCCCATATCCATTAACAGCCTCTTGGCTAAGGTCCCCTGTGTTTGTCAGTCCTATGTAGGCCTGCTGCTCTGCAGGCTTTTTGCAGTACCTTCAAGTCGAATCCATCCGGATCCACTTCACTTTGATGTAGATAGAAATTGTACTTCATCAGTGACTAGCACCCTTATCCATCCCATTCATAGGCTGGATTAAGGTCTTTTGCCTACTTTTGAGTGGAAGTGGTTCATTGCAAAAGATCTGATTACCTTAAAATACAAACCTGCAAGAGGTAGCAAAGTGAATTTTTTAGTTCTCTCTAGCAAGCAGTTATCCACAGCTCGCTACATCATGTAGTTACTGAAAAAAGCCACACTGATGCTGACATGAGCAAGAGCTGCACACACTTAACATGTAGACAGCAATAATGGCATTGAACATGCTGGCATTAACCATCAGCAAGAGAAAAGGAGCAGTGTCTGATAAGCACCACTACTGTATTAAGGAAGAGATGGAGAAAAATCGTACGAAGAACAAAAGTATGGGAGGGTTTGTGGTGTTCACCAACACTATTCGTACCACACTGCTGTCCCCTTGATCCAGCCTCTCTGCCCTGTGAAGCTCAGGAAAATTCCCAAAGAGGAGCCTCCTGCAGCACATCCCATGACAGTGGGCAAAGCAGCAGCTTTGTCTTTGGCACAATCACCCAGCCTGTACGGTTTAAACACATCCATCCTTTGTGTGGCTCTCATTTCGCCTCTGTGAGTTCATCGAGGGCAGGAAGGTGCTGCAGGGTTGCCCCTGAGGTGTTCCTCCAGGGATAACCACCCAGCCTGCATGGTTTAAACACATCCATCCTCTGTGTGGCTCTCATTTTGCCTCTGTGAGTTTGAGGGCAGGAAGGTGCTGCAGGGCTGCCCCTGAGGTGTTCCTCCAGGGATAACAGTCCCAAAATGTTGGGAGTCACCAGGAAGCAAGAGTTAAACATCCTGCTTATGAGTCTTGCCATTGCCAATCAGGAGTCACCAGGAAGCAGGAGTTAAACATCCTGCTTATGAGTCTTGCACAGGACTTCCTCCTGCTGCAGGAGCATTGTGATCCAGCATGGTGACCACTGTCCCTCCTGCCACCAGTCTGGACTCACAATGCAGGTCAAAGGGGCAGTGGGGGCACAGCTGCCCTTTGCTACCCCTAACATGACCTGCACCCACTCTGCTCCTAACCCTTGAATGTCTGCTGCACCTACAGCCCTGGACACAAGCAGAGCGATCATGTTGGCCCTGCAGCTCTGAACTGAAACCATTCTATTCAGAGGTTTGTTACATTTACTTTAATCCTTCTCAGGCTGTTAGCAGAAATCTGGGGTCATCAAATCCAGTCCCCCATGTGCACAACAGCAAGCTTGCTCAACATCTCTGCCCAGTTCCATGTTCATAACAGTTTGTACTTTTGCCCTCACTGCTGACATTAAATAGCTGTTTCCCGTGTTGCTGCACTAACAGTTGCCACTGTTGTTTAATTTGTAGTCAAATCCATTCACATCCTATTTAAATCAATTTGCTTCTCTGCCAGTATAATTTAAATATCCTCCCTGGAATTCACACTCTCCCCTGAGGCTTACTTACCAAGAAGAGTGACATTGCTTTCCAGCTTCCTTTTGGCTGACTGAAGCAGCCAAGTATCTGTTCCTGTGATTGTCCTAAGCAATCCCCTGCCTTGCCCATGCCTGGTAGATAGGAAACCTTAGGAGCCACATTCAGTGGCACCATTGCAAACCCCAAACAAGTCACCATCACTGACCAGGAAACAGTCATCTATCCTGATATTCTCCCCCGCCCTTGTTAGGAAACAGCAACATCTCATTTGTAATCACTTACCTTCTGCCTTGACAATAAGCTGAATTTTTGCAGCCTTTGTACCATATGGGTAAGTAGCAAAACTGCACTCGTACTGCCCACTAAGGGAGATGGTAACATTTTTCAGATGCAGAAGCCACCAATTGCATTCAGACATGGTGTTTGAATCGGTTGAACACAAAGACTCCGTGACATCCCAGCTGCAGCACTTCCTGATGCTGGAGGACACCGAAAAGTTGTAAGAAGCCTCAGGAAAGTTGAAGTAGTGGGTGCCAAAAACAGGGTGGTAAACTGCTATTCTGGTAAGCTGGCTGTCATCAGTCTTGGACCACTGTGTCTGTATTATGTGGGTGGTGTGTGGTTTTGGGAAGATGCACACCAGGGTCACGTCAGCACCTGGCAAAGCACGGACCACTTCTGTTTGGGTAATGACGTCTCCAGACTGGCCTTAAAAACAAACAGGATCATTTTCGTGTGATAATGTTTAAACAAAACTCTTCCTAAGCTGTCTTTGACATGATTTGGTTCCTTAGCCACAGACAACTATCAAGACCCTACAACTGTAACCACAGGCTTTCCAGCAAGGAGCTTTACAGCAAATCTCCACCAGTACAGACTGTGGAAAGAGAACTGTGAGAGCAAACACATGTCTGGAAGAGGGTAGGGACCTCCTGTCATGGTTGTAGGAGAGAAATGGGAGCTCTGAGGGCCTCTCTGAAAATGAAAATCTTTCAAGTAATATAAATAAAGCTGAAGCTGGGCCCAGTTATTCCCCAGTTCTTTTTGCAAGAACAAATGACTTATCCCTGCTGGCTAATTCTGCCTTACACCATCCCCTCTGCCCATTGCCTTTGCTGCTTTGGCAGACAAAGCTGTTCTTTTACCTCCACATTACTGAACAGACACTGCATGGCCTAAACCAGTGTCCATCTCAGTGTCAGAGTGAGCTGCCCTGGTATGTGTGATTTCTTCCTCAATTAATTTCATAAAGCAGGTGGCAGTCCTTAGTGTGCAATATAAAGAAGTAATGGATCAATGGGCTTTCAGTGGGAGCCTGTACTATTTGGTTTAGCTGCTGCTGTAATAAAATTGATTTATCTCCCTTGCTCCCTCCTATGAGTAAGAGTCTCACAGTCCCCAAACCCCTGTATGCAGGCCACTGACAAACTCAAGGAGATGAAGAATTTATGGATGGAGGAGTCACAATGAGACAAGTAATCAATCACACCCACAGAACCACACACAAGAAGTCCCTTTTCTGAAAGGGCATGTGAGTTCTTGGAAAAAATGAGTTGTGCACTTGTTCTTAGGTATAAATTTGTCACCCCCCATCTTCACTGGATTTTATCCTCCCCATGTATCATAACATCACTGTATATTTGTTTTGGGAATTTGCCCTTCAGTCCCACAAGCCACACTGCTGGCTCCCCATGACAGCAGGTGCCCACCTCTCAACCTCTTTACCTGAAAAAAGCAGGTACCAGTTTCTTTGCTCTGACATTTGTTCTGCCCTGTGGTACAGGGCTCTGGGTGCCTGAGCCAGGGGCCAGTTAACCTGTTCTTCCTAGCTGGCAATAAGCACTCCTGCACTCAGCATGATCAGACTTTTGCATGGGTAGGGAGGGTTGTGTGAACATCAGGCTTTTTCTTGTGTTTCCTTGGTTTGTTTTTGGTTTAAACTCCCTCTGATGGGGATGCAGCCCTCCTTACTTAACTTTTTCAAAAGTTTTACTCAAATTACACACTTGTTTCTCAAGCCTTTAATAAAACACATAGGGCTAGGTAGGGAAGAGGAAGGATGAAATCTATTTAAGGGGCTGCAACTCTACAATTTCCCCTTGTCTTTAAGTGTTTCAATTCTTTCCCTCTCTGCATACACAGGTATGTGAGAGAGAGATGTAGTTTTTATTTTCTCACTGAAAGCAGTGAGCCATTTTGTGGCTCACTATTTGTACTATTTTGTGCACTACTCCTGACCCATTCAAGAGAAGCACACATTGCCCTAAATAGAAGTGAACTCATCTCAGTGATTATTCTGGCAGGTTAGGCATTTGGAATGAAGTAATCTGCTAATTAGCACAAGCCATTTACTCCTCACTAGCTGCACATTATAACTAGGTTTATTAGAAAGTTGTCAGGAGACAGAAAATCTTTGCCAGTAGATACAGCTCACCCTAGTGAGGGCACACTAAGCCCAGTCTGCCCCTCAACACCCTCCATCATAAACAAAGTCAAGGTGTCTCACTGACACTCTTACCTGCAATGCTGGGCACTGAGAGCAAACAGAAGAGAGAGAACAGCCGCCTTTTTTCCATCTTTGTTTGATGAAGTTCAGGCAAATATGTAGCTCTCTTGTCCTGCTGCTGTCAGTGTCACAGAAGAGGAAGCTGAAATGGTCTGCCCCATGCAGGCAGATGTGCAACACAGTCACTTAGCGTGACTTCAAAGAAATGCTTCATTAGACGCAAAAGCCTCAGTTTCCTGCCGAAGCAATAAAATTAGTACACCTTGTGAAACTTTAAAGTTGAAAACATTACCTACCTTGTAAGCTCATGGTGAAGACCAATTTGTTTTTTATTTCCTTTGCCTTTTCAGATAAACTCAGAGTAAGCAGGTTACTGGTTTATACACTCTCAAAAATACGTCAGGTATCTAAGGGTGAATATATAACTTTTGCGGATATGGTTTAGGGGTACTTATGGTGGTACTAGGTTTTTGATTTTATGACCTTGAAGGTCTCTTCCAACCTTGATGATTCTGTTCTTTCTGTGTACTGTATGGGAGATAGCATACCAAAAAACCAAAGCTGACTTTTTTCCCCGTTTCACCTCCTTTATGAGTTAGTCCAAAATAGCTCAAATATCCTATTATTAGACTCTCTACACTCAGTATCTGTAAATATCTCAGCAAAATAGCAAAACAAATCCCCCTAAATTAAAACAGATCAAATTGAGAGTTTTCTAGATTCATCTTTTTTTAATTCTTTCTTCCTAAGAAGGAGACCATTGCTTATTTTCTGCAGGATGAAGAATTGCAGCATCACGTGTCAATGCCCCTTGGTGTGGTTAGTCATCCCTGTACAGTCCTTCAGCTGTCAGCTTTGGCAATGGCAGCACCCTCAGGCAGAAGAGCGTGGTTCCTTGCAGTCCTGTCACCTATTGCAGGTCACTTGTACGTCCTTCTGAGCTGTTCTCGAAGCACACTGCATCTGCACAAGCTAGGCACACAACAGCCAGCAAAGCATCTCATTTCATGCAAGTCTTATGCAAACTGGACCTACTGTTGTCAGCTTTTCAGAAAGAAACAGGTTTAGGTACTTGCTTATCATACTTGTTTCCCCAAAACCAAAAAGAGCAGGGCAGAACACCTCATGTATGTGGTGTGGATATATGTTGTTTTCTGATTCTTCCAGATGTGGGATGGATGTTTGGCAGTATAGCTGGGCAGGATGCTTATTGCCTCTGATAGCTCCATCCTTAGGGGCATGGGGACAACACACCCTTTGGACTTTGGGAGAGAGCTGATTACAGCCCACCAGGGCAGAGAAGGCTAGTGTCACAATCCCTTAAACAGGCACCTGTCTCTACCAGCAGTGCCCTCCTTTGGGTGGCTGGTCCATCCTTGAGCAATCTGGGTCCTCACATATTTTTTCCTGACTGTCAACTTTTGCTGACTTGTGGAGCCTCTCATAGCTCCACCATGCAAGACACCAAGTACAAGGTGAAAAAGAAAGACCTCACTGGTCATTTTTCTATTTTGTGCACTACCAGATATAAACAGCATCTATACCACTTCCTTAATTTGTGCATATCCAGCCTCTTGGCAGCACAGTTAAACAGACTAAGGTCCCCATCTGGAACAGCTAACAGTGCTGGCCAGGCTATGGTTGGGGCTCCACACACATCTTGGAGGATAAATGCTGCTGCAGAGTTCCTTTTTTGTTTGCGTTGCTCCTCTACCTGAGGAAATGCACTAAAAGCAGTTATAAGAAATGAACTGGGTGCCTGGGTTACTGCTAAACAAATTGTCCCTGGGGATGAAATCTCTGCTTATCATTCAGAAGCCTGACAGAAAGAACTGTCCCAGAGGATCAAAAAGTCCTGAAGTTGAAGATGAACAGAATATTCAAGCCATTGTAACTGACAGCCACAGAAGGGAGTAAAAATATTAAAGCGATATATTCTAGTTTCCAGTTCAGAGTAGAGACCACAAAGAACCCAGATATTAGCTGCACATACTAGGGTCCAAGAAAAGCAGACTTCAATCTAAAATTTGGGCTTTCATTCATGATTGCAGTTAACTTAGCTTCTCCTGCTGATGAGGTCATGTAAGCTTTGTATCAAGAGAAAATGTATTTTTGTGCAACATGGAGAAAAGAAGTCTTAAATGAGCCTCTTTATTGATCTGAAACATACATCACAAATTGACAAGACAGCTCAAGTTCTGTGTGGCATATTTGATAGCTACAGAAATCCCTGAGCAGCTTGAGCTACTAGATGACTGTATCTTGCCCTTAGAATTTGTTTCCCCTGCTAAAATAACATCCTAAAAATATACTGCTGCCATGTTGCATTGTGTTGACTGAATGCAGCCACCCAGTGCTGTTGCTGTGCTTGGTGATGAAAGACAGACAAGAAAGAAACCTCCCAGCTCGATGGATTTTTTGTTCACTTCAGAGCTGTCTTTTGCCTCAATTGTTTCCTTAAGCCCAGATCCCGAAATAGTCATTCACCTGGCTGCTGACATTTATGTGGCTGAACAGCTAAGCCCTGCCTCTGCATATGACATCAAAACCCACTTCTGAGACATGCCATTTTTCTCAGCCTACTGACAGAGAGACATCTCTTCCCTGGAGCCAGACCAGAGATCCTGCTCACAGCAGTGCAAATTGTTATGAGATCTTCCTCCCACAGACCCCCCTTTCCTGAAAAGTTACTCACAGGCAGCTCTGTAGATGCCACAGTTGGATGTTACACACCAGGTTACAGATGATTGTGATGAGGTGCTGAAACATATCCAGGGATAGTGGACCTCATTGGTAGCTGGAGGGAGAAGGTATCAGTCTCTGGTGAGGCAGCTACAGGGATAATTGTCTAAGACTTGAGTTTTCCCTGCTGTTCTAGAGACCCAGAAATTACTGCAAGGCAGGAAGGTTTTAGAGGAAAAGCAGCTGTGCCCAAGCAAGCGACACACCTTGGCAGTGGATACATGAACCATAGTGTTTTCTTTTGGGCTGGACAAGCAGTTGTCCTGGCTGTTGGTGCTTTGTGTTCCAGGGGGTGGCAGGAACCAATGGGCTCTGAATATAATCCAGGATGGATCCCTGACAGTGCACAGGGCTCTGCCTGCTGCTCAGGGATGCCTCATACAGCATTAATTATTTTCCCCTTGTGTGGGAGTAGGAGATGGCAATGGGGGATCCTCTAATTATTTTTTGCAGATCCATT